AATTAAAGAATAGTACAAAACTTGCAGTCTACATTGTCAAGGATACACTACACTAAAATAATATAACTTATTTTGAGTGAATGAAAAATACGTTAAGTAACAAATTACTGACTACATTAGGTCTTGTTCTCTAATCAACAAAATATTTCTCTGTCAAGTCCCAAATTGAGTTGTAACATTTTTATATCTCTCAAGTGAGACTTGGTTGATGTAGCAGTGAGTAAAAGCGTCATAAAAAGTATTTATGTGTGTGTTGAATCAAAATCGGACCTAACATTAGTGAGTGGTAAAGTGAATCACAGGTATAGTGAATAAATCCATAAGATTAATAAATATAGGATAACTAAATTGCTCAACAAAAAAGCGCATTGCTCATTTAACGGAATTTTTGATGTGCTGTAACGAATTCTTCTCTTACGCCCTTTCATTTAAACGACAATTTGTATTTTGATACACGTGCGCCGAAACATCGTGTTTACAGTTTGTAGTGAGGTTAGAGAACTGAATTATTAACCAAAAAAAGTTACAACTTCTCCAGTGGACAAATCCATTTTAATATACAAAATTTAACTAAAATTTAAAAAATACACAGTTTCGTCACTGTTTTCGATAGTGAAAGAATCACTTTTACTCATTACAATGACACGACAATGACAATTTACCTTTCCGCCCATTATTCAATTAAATTTTCTTCATCCCGTGTGGAAAGTAATAACTTTCGCCACGCACGCTGACAGCTTGACTGTTTGTCACTGACTATCAGCTGACAACATTTTCAAAGCCGTTTTTCTCAAAAGCTTGTACTTTTCCAGGCTGATTTCCACCGAGGATCAAGAAAAATAAGTAATATACTATTATTGATATGTTACCGCGATAATAGTGACATAAACAGACACAACCTTATTGCTTCCTAAGCCTATGCTGCAATTCGAATGGTAATAATATTGTTCCTTATTCTGCTTTATAAACACCCCAAGTGGCGTTATGCCTTAATCATTATCCTTATTCTGGTGTATAAACCCACCATATGCCGTGCGGGGCTGCCGTTAATGCTTCGAAAGATCTGCTGGAGCTTTCTTAAAGGTAAACTTGTGCGCAGTGGGCATTTGGAGTGCATGAATAACAAAGGATACAAGTTTTGGGCCAACTCTGTGGCTTATGGTGATGGAGGAATGGTTTCGGGTAAATGATGTCTTTAAGAAGGAATGGAGTGATGATAACTCTACCATGAAAGTCAGATCGAGACTTTCGCCTGCAAAGAGCAGAATTCTCAAAATTAAGTATGATAATATTTGTATGTTGACTGRAACTTTAGAGACGAAATCTCTAAAGGTATAGAGATCTTTTATTCTCGCTTGTACACCTCTGTTGTGCCGGAGCATGAAATGTTCAGAAAGTTACCATTCGCAATGTACGATCTCGGTGAACAAAGGTGATGGACATAATACAGCGATTTGCTGAGCGTAAGTGACAATGGGTTGGGCATAATGCCAGACTAAGTGCACACAGATGAATAACAAGATTTGTACACTGGAATTGTCGACAGACCACAGATGAGATGGTTGGATGATGCTAAAAGCTGTTTAGCAGGAGGAAGATGGTACCAGACAGCGAAAGACAGAACAGCATGGAAACAAATAAACGARGCCYTTATTCAGGAATGGACAGATAATGGCTGACAAAGAAGAAGAAAAGACGGATTCAGCGATGAGGGGCACGATGTGGTGGACTTGAGACAAACGCTAAAGTGCGAGGTGGCCCAGGAGTACGCAGACAATTAGGTGCTGCTGCTGAGAGCCACGTTCGCAAATAAGTTGGAGAGTGTTTTTGAAACTGTGTCTCCAAGATGGAAAGTTTGTTCGTTCCTGCAAGGAGGAATTGTTAAGCCTTCGGTCCTGGATGGAGCGTAAAAATGGTTGGAGTGCGGGTCTCAATTAGTTGGGCATCAGTTCGGAAGACAAGATGATCTTCCAAGAGGATGCAAAGGAGGTCCGAAGAACAATAAGAGTTGTCTGTGCTAAGATGCGGGGCATAATGAGGAGTCGAGGCCTTAACATCAAGGAGTTTGGTATAGATAGTGTATGTTAGTTTGCAGTGGTAAGTCACCAGTGCGGTTATGTATGCCAGTAAAGTATGGGGCCAAAGCGAGAGATTCCACGACAATCATTCACATTGTGAAATCCTTCGCTTTGGCGTACGCTCTTTTTCGGAAGCACTACAGGTAGTCCACATATCAGCGCCGCATTGGCTGGAGTGTTTGTGTGTGCATAAGTGACATAGGAAATATGGAAAAGATGTGGGAGCGGGTAAGTCCAACAAGTATTTGCCCTTACAAGAAGATTGGCTGTGTGGATGTAGGGAGTATGAGGAAAATTAGAACGCTGATTTTGATGTATAGTGTGGCACTTCAGTCCTGGGAAATAAACGTGGTGCTGAAACGGATGGGGTGCGAAAAGAATAATCGACATGGAGCTGCGGCAATCTCAATCGGAATCGAGAGAGAGTTGGTGCGCAACAGTCTACACGGGCTCAGAAGACGCAACTGCGGCGGAAGCTGTGCAGGCTGTGGGAGTTGAGCATCGCAACTGGTTTGGAAGACTGGAGCCAAGTTACCCAAACTAAGAAAAGCACACAACGACTGCAAATCTGCGTGCAATCAAACCTGCGAGGGAACGAGCAATGCTCGCAATTAGCTTGAGAGATAGGCAAACTACTGAAGATATCAGTGCGAAAAACTAACTCAGTGACGCGGTTTAACAAAGTGAGAGAAGTAAATGGCGATGGGCGGGATATGTAGCGCGGAATGATATGAAGTGGACAAAAATGATCATGCAGTGGAAACCACGACTAACAAAAAGAAGTGTTGGCAGACCCCTTTTAAGATGACGAGATGATACACAGAGACGAGCGGGAAAGAACTGGATTCTCGCAGCACAGTGTAGATCGACATAGAAACAAATGGAAGCGGCCTATGTCCAGGAGTGGACTCAAGCGAGCTAAAGAAGAAGAAGAAGGAAAAGCAAAATTTATATTTAAAGTTGTACTAAACTTTTGTGTGCATTAACATTGATCCTACAAGAATCAAGTACCAAAAACAATATTTTCTCGGTCTAATTCGGTTAAAAAGACGCGAGGTACAGCTCAACAAATTTACTCCAGAATTTGCAATGCGCCATTTTTTAGAATAGATTATTAGGGTGCATACATTACAATATAAACGTGTATTTTGTTGTAAAATCACCATCTTCACTAATAATTTTGATCGAGAAATAGAAAGTTTAACAGAAATAGTCAAACTGTTGGTTGCTGGTCAAAAAATGTTGTTGGTTACTATCTATGCAATAAAAAATAAAATTTGAATAAATGAAAATTAATTAGGACAGTATTAGCATTAGCCGATTATTTAATTTTAACATTGTCGACCAGCTTCTTACCAACACTGCCTAGACTGTTTAAAGTCCAACCAATCGATCCTCCATTCAAATGAGTTGTACATACTTTCCTGACTGTGTTTCAATTCCAAATCAAAATCAATTGGCAATCATTTAAGCCTTGGCATATATTTATATATGCCAAGGCTTAAAGTAGCAACAACGCTACACATAGAAACTGATGTTGGTGGAAAACACCGAAACGTATTTTAATTGATAAATAGACAATAAATGACTGAAGCCCAGGAATTGATTTTTATTTGGAATTCAAATGAGTGTAGATCAGGGTTCATACACGGTTCCAACAAGTTTGACTGGAGTATTAACAAAATGATCAAACATTGATTATTTTACAACAAACTAGCAATACAATCTCTTACACGGACACCAAATACCCTGTAATATGAGAAATCTCTGCGGAGAGTATTTGAAACAAAGACATTTTCCCAGCGGTAAGTAACCCATTATGAAGCAAGATTTTTTGATTTGCCCACTTCATCGTACATGTTAACAACCACTGAGACAAATTGTTCGAATGGAAACATGCTAATACGTAAAATGACTAGTTGAAACTTACGATATATAATAATACTTATGGTGTAAACGTGAAAATGGAGCAAGTAGTCGCACCAGGTTCCAAGTGCACTTGGGCATTTTATCACATTTTTTTGGGTAGGAAAACATTGGAAGAAATTATCACACTTGTTGAAGTAAATTATTGTTTAAAGTGATGGTCGCTTTTTTACTTCAGTAACTTGTAAACAGTCTTTTGTAGATCACTCAGGGTTTAATAATCTGAATAATGATTAATTTACTCAAATGTCACCGTTATGCCTATTTAGCTTTTAGCAATTATTTTAACTCTTTTTGGACTGTAATCAATTTTTATGTTTAAAGGTGCCTCGTCACAGTTATTTGTAGTATAAGTGTTGCAAAGACTTACACTACAACTTTCCAACCAAGGCATTAAACGAGCTTTGCCAAACGTAAGTAAAGTAATATAAATTTATAACAAAACTATTGTAATAGATAGCAGTTAAATTATGCTTTCATTTAATAACACGAAAACTATGATAATTTGGCAAACGTCAAAAAAACTTGTGCGAGGTTGCTAGTCCCCCATCGGGCGCCTCCCCAGGTGATGGATAGGGGCACGCCCCTCATATCAGAGGTACCGAGGAAATAAAATGCTCGAGGCGGGCCAAAACTAGCACAGCAACCTCTGACCCAAAATGAGTGGCTGCAAACAGCGTCTGTAGCCAGAATGGGCAGCTGGAATATACACTCGCCAACACTCAGGGTAAGCGTGGCGTTTTATAGTGCCAAAGCCTCCGTAATGAAATGAAATGTCGAAACACAATCACCACCCCAGGTGAGTAGGGCGACTAGCTCGGAATCTCACACTGATTCGTCAGTCAGCCCCATGGATTCTAGGGGGAGGCAAGGATTCGATGAAACACGGAAATAAGGATAAGTTCTTCATTGCAACCTGCAATGTATGCACCATGAGATTAGACAAACACGTAGACGAACTGGAACATGAACTAGAAAATGTAAAATGGAACATCATTGAACTAGCCGAGACAGGCTTTACAGCAACAACTGTAAAATCGGGTTAGTGATCAACAAAAATATTAAACCAAAAGTCGCCAGTTATGTGCCATGTGAAATTGAGTCATATATATCATATTAAAGCTGAGCAATCGATATGACATGCAAATAATCAACATCTACGCCCCAACCAGCGCGGCGGACGATGCATACGTGGGTGAGCTCTAAGCTATACGAAGACGTGACAACGGCAAAAAGAACGGAAAGAGCACACGTCATAATCAACTTCAATGCTAAAAGTGGAAGAAGAAAACCGGATGCCACGGAATACGTTGGAGAATACGAGTTGTGGGAGAGAAATTACAGTGAAGAAAGGTTGGAAAACTTTCTTAGCGAGGAATCGCTGTTCTGTTTAAACACATTCTCAGGAAAATCCCACATCAAAAATGGACATGGATGAGCCGCAACAAAGAACCGAGACTAACTAACTAAACAGAGTAGTTACACGAAGTGCCCATAAAATGGTGAAAGCATGTTTCCGCATAGACCTAAAACGGGAAAAGAACAAACTGATCAAGACAACCAGGTACCCGCCAAACAAGGAAAGTGGAATACCAGGAAAAAATTACAAAAAGATTACCATAAGTAGAAAACATTGAAAATATGGATATAAACCAACTTAGCGAAACAATCATAGCATCCATTTATACGGCAACTAAAAAAATATGCTCAAGGGTAGTGAAACGAAAACACTAAGAACTAAGCACCAATAGAATTGAACAAAATGGTCAAAAAGGCAATTCGTAAGGATGTAAGAACCCATAAAACAAAAATTGAAGAAACAATTGGACAAAACAAAAACACGAGAGATCTCAAATCAAGACTATCAAAGGGAAAAACCATGAATATATTTAAGAATAAACAAGTTACTGTATCGACCCCAGACCAAATTGCCCAAATAATTGAAGATTTCTTCACCGCCCTATTTAAATCAGCAGCACCCAATGTCAACAAAAGCCAAATCGATAACAGGACAATACTAAACGTAGGGTCAGAGACACAAGAAATAACATGTGATCAAATAAGATGCTTGGAAAAAAATAAAAAACGGAAAATTCTGGTTCTGGAGAAGGCCATATTACATCAGAAATGATACGATTCGAAGGAAAGTATTTAAGGAACGCTCTCCAAAAACTATTAAATATATAAGATAGTGCAAGTTTCGAAGTTCGCCAACCTCAGACACCCCCAGGACCTCATCAGCTGGGTGTAGCGTGAAATTAGCGACCGTGAAACCCGAACTTGAATCATCTAGTGCGGGTTTTACAAAATGTGTCCTGTAACAGATTTTTCAAACCCTAAGCAACATTTCCTTAACTATTTCGGGGCGGATTAAAGCTTTACAAGGCCCGGAGCTGGAATTTCAACACTAACAAAAAAAGGTCACACTGTGCCAACTCCTGAAAATTAACTTAGTTATCCATGCCCAGTAAAAAGGCAGCAAAAAGATTGAGGAAATATGAGAAACAAGCACGATTACAAAAGGTGTAATATAATAACTTGCATTCTGATGCCATTTTCAAACAAAATATCGGATAAATTTAATGTGACATCAAAATCACCAGAAAGTATTTCAAATATTACTAAAGACTTAAAAAGCCTAATGAATAATGTAATTCTACGCCGTAGAAATAATGGTTTTCTTATAAATGCGCCAATAACTAAAGACATAATCGGATGTCGGATTTTCTGAGAGGTTACGGGGACTTACTTGAATAGTACAAAAATAATTTTCAAATATCTTTGTTTTTAAAGACGATTAGTTTTTGAAGATTTTTTCTAATCTCTTTAAACACTCATAGCCAACACTCCCAGGAAATAATCATTCTGTATACAAGGCGGTTAAGAATATTTCAAAGTTGGTTTAATGGTCATTTGAAAAACCGACGCTTAATTGCACAAGTGAAAAAAAGAACTTATGTTTTCTATAAAAAAAAACAGACAAACGTATATAAAGCAAGTAAATTAAAAGCATGCACTTCTAAGTCTGATTATAGATGGCAAAATCCAAAGCAAAAGATTTGTCTACAAGCCTTTAATCAATTAAAGAAAATCAGAATCGGATTGGATTATGGCAAAAAAATACAAAACGATTTCTTTGTCATTATGTTGTGCACTAGTGTAGAAACCCCTACACAAAGCAACCTATAAAACCTTAAAATTCGCATTATTAAACGAAAGCAGATTGTTTAAAGAGCAGAATATATAATAATGATCTCAAACGAATTTACTGAGTGTTCTGGTAGCTAAACATCTCAATTAGTTATGACCCTGTAAGCTCAAAACTCTTTCAATTAATACGTTTATTTTGCTAATTACAGTCAAACTTATTACGATATAACTGAATGCGATTAACATCAAAAATTTTTGTAGCGACTCCGTATAATTCAAGCAGTTACGTCGTCAGCAAAAAAAAACAATTTTTTTTGGTTGCCTGCCGCACTAAACCCAGTCCAACACTTGCTCCTTATAGCTAGTTGTTCAACTTACAACTGATAAGCAACCCTAAAGAAGAATATCTACGGAGCGAAATTACAATTGCACATCTACCTAGGAGAGTTTCGACTACTAATATTGATATAGAATCTACGACTGACGACCAAAGACGGCCTTTGCGCAAGGATATCCTAAAAGTGATTGGCGCCATCTTACCATTAAAGCAAGCAATACAAGAGTATTTTTCGACAAACTTAACTATAAGAAGAACGCTATAAATTATAACATACACTAATAAATATAAACAAACAAATGTTCGAGGAAATAGAAGTAGTAGTAACACAGCAGTCAAATCAAATAACTTAGAGGATAAATTAATACACGAATTCGAACGATGGCTTTTACGTTCATTACCACTTGGTTACGGGGAGTGGGCTTGTCCCTTCTTGTTTTTCTTTAGAGAAATATCTTCAACATCGTCGCCCTTCTTCACTTCTGTATAACGCTCCCCTTTCAAACTGACAATCTTGTTGTCCCGATAGCGGACCAATTTTTTCGGTTCCACTTTTGGTGCTACCGGTCGATATTCCTAAATTATAATCATCCTTTATTCCAGAAATTTCATAAATAGTATTTTTATTTAAAAATTAGTGTGTGATAATTTTTTGCTGCTAATATACAGGGTGTCCCGTAAGCACATGACCCATAGGGTACTGCGATATTTTATGGATCAAAAGAAGACGATCTGACCTAACTTTTGTTAACAAAAAATGTCTGGCTCCTCTGCTATTGATGGTCAAAGTTCTTCAAATTCTCAAGAGATTAAAGAGAATCTTGATAAACATTACGGTGACTCACTACACTGCACTGCACCTTCAATTAGAACAGTTTATAAAGTTTAAAAATGTTCGGAACGTTCTGGACGACCGGTTTCCGCTACTACTACTCCAGAAATCATTGACAAAATCCGTAATATGGAGATCTACGACAGAAGAGTGAAGATGTGTAAGAATGCTGGTGCTGTAGGCATGTCGGATGAACGGGTACATAATATTTTGCACCAAAATTTGAGCATAAAATAGTTATCCGCAACGGTGCCGCGATTGCGCACAATTGAACTAGAACGAAATCAATTTTTGAAGCGCAATCGTTTTGCGGCAATTTCGAACGAAATTTTGGGGCGCAATCCGCATAACTTTAAGCGTCGTTTTGTGACCCCTGAGACGAAAGAGCAGTCCAAACAGTGGGTTGGCAAGGGGGAATCTGCACCAAAAAAGGGCAAGACAACTGTCTTTCGGGATTCTAAACTAAAATTTGGGTTATTGAACCGTTTGCACACCGACTTGCAAGAGAAACATCCAACTCACACTTCAGCAGTTGTGGCCGCAAAATTGATGCACATCCCCCCTATTCTCCAGATTTGGCCCCCTCAGACTACTACTTGATCCCCAATATGAAAATACTTGCTGGCCGAAAACAGATTTTACTCAAATGAGAAGAAGCTGATTGCAGAAACGGATGCCTATTTTACAGACTTCGACAAATCCTATTATTCGGAAGGGATCAACAAATAAGATCATCGTTGGATGAAGTGTATCAGTCTCAAAAGAGATTATGTTGAAAAATAAAACTGATATATCCTAAAAAATTAAGTAGTTTTCATTTTTGCACCGACTTTTCAAATCACTCTAGTACATATGATGCGTATTCGAACAAGGTATGAAAAAATACAATCGTAAGTTCCTGAGCCTAAAATTTGATGACTTGATTTGATGGCACAGGGGTAATTTTTCTTCAAGCAATCAGATTTAAGTCGAAATCACGAAATTGAGAATTGTCACACAGGTCAACTTTGCTATTTATTATTTTTTAAATTTAGAAAAAAGTGATTTTTTCAATTCAAATTTCAAAATACATTTTCATTCTTTTTCATTTTTCAAGTTATTTCGAATCATATCAAAAACAAAATACTTTCCGATGGCATTTTTTCGAGCCCTACAAGGTAGTGTCGATGAAAATGTATTCCAACTTTTTATTTCTTAGAAACCATGATCAACCATTATTTTCTGAATATCTCAAAAACTAAAAGAAATGCGCCTTTTTTGAAAACACGATGTACATGGCTCTCCGATTGCGCAATTTTTTCCTAATTCAACCGGCTTCATATCTCTTATGATTTCAGAGATCCCATGCAATGCAGCGTTATCTTGGACACCCTGTATACTGGTGTTTCAAGCCGGTTAAATTTGAGCACAGATTTAGATGCTTAACAAAATGGTGTTTTGAAAAATTAAAAAATCCTACTTCGAATATTTCCGGAATATTCGAAGAAAACCAAAATGTATTCAAATGATATTTTCTGAGCTTGTCCGTAGAGACGTTTTAAAATATTTGCCACATTATTAGAACACCTTTTCACTCTCTACAAGATGATACTTCATATGATCAGATATCGAATTTCATATTTCGGTTCTGGCCCATCATCAACTTATTTTTTTAAGAACGGACCTGCAGGTTTAACATCAGTTAACATATCACTTTACGCATTGTACGGACCTAGTAATAGTACTGTAATTAATTTAAAAGAAAACAGAACATAGAATTTCAGATCTGAGAGTATAATCTTCTAGGCTAGAAAAAAAGGTGTTCTGAAAATGTGACAATCTAAAAATATATCTCCAAATAAGTTCCTAAAAAAATGTAATTATTTGAGAAAATTTGGTTCTTTCGAATATACAGTCAATTTAAATTAATATAAATGTAAAATAAACTTTTTTTCTCGGAAGTAGTAGACATTTCAAATAATCGAACCACAATGTGAGGAGTAACAAATAATATGTAACATTCGAGATCACAGACTCAATGTTAATGCAGCAACTCCAAAAACAACAATTTAACGTGAGGTTTTGCAAACGCATTAACTCACGTCAAAGAAACACGCCAAAATTAATGATGAGGCTCATCACAGGGGACTTAAGCACCTACAAAAAGCTTATCAATGAGCGCTCCGTCCATTTCTTCGGACAAATATTTAAAATATCCCAGAGTAAACCACCAGCAACCATTCCCGCACCTTGTGGCCGGTGTGACTTATTGGACCACCTCAGAGAAGACTGCAAACAGACAATAAAGTGTGGCAGATGCCAGGGACCACATCCAACTGTGTCCTGCCAGTCGCCTCTTCTAATCAAATGTGCAGCCTGTGACTCTGAAGGCCATGCGGTATGGAGCCTGCGGTGCCCAAAGAGACCGACTGCTCCAATAAAAAGTATTCCCAACATTCAAATAAAGTGCCTCAATAAAATATCAGTTAAACAAATCCTCCAACACAAACAGGGAGGAACTATTGAAAAATATGCGAAAGCTACTTGCGGATGACCGCAACATTGACACCTCGGTGGTCTTCTCTGGCACCCATATGTATATCTTAATGATAAACATGTTACTTCCCAACAGAAGTTCCCATACCGAACCCCGAGATCATCAATATGGACACTTCAACAAGATACTACTTTACGCTAAGATCAACGGACTTAACAGTATAAAACCACTTATTTATAATTACATAGAACAAAGCGACACGGACTGCTGCATGTTTGTAGACTCTAAAACCACACTAGGACAGACACAAACGTACAGAAATTGGCAATACATCTATATGGAAATACCATTAACCATACCCGGGGCGGGGCCGCAGTTCCTTTCGACCCTTTCGACGACTGCCTACATTTTACGATACCGTACCTAAATGACCTAAAAACAAAATGAAACAGCTGAAAAGGTTTTTACAAAATTTGGACTTTATAAAACAGCACACCCCACCAACTTTTCTGATGCCCGGAAACCCAGATTCAACACCAGACGTTCTCATGCACACAAGAAACTTAACAAACCCCATCAACAAGCTTAACCTTAACATAGACTTACAACATACGCATTCCTTCCTTCATTGCACCTCCTATAGAAAAAAAGTTAAACCTAACAAAGACTGACATCGACAAAGTGAAACAACACATACATGACTACATTCAATCGCAAGTACAGCCCATCTCAACAGAAACCATATAACGACAAATTTCACTAGCCAAAGGAAGATTTGCCCGGAAATAAAAAATGTTTTCTACCGACATACACTATCCAAATTAATACTGAGACTCATAAAACATAAGAGAGAACTGTACAAACTATACATACATACAAAAAATTGTCGAAAAATACATACCATTGTATCAGTTCGGCTTCAAACATCAGCACTCGACTACTTACGCACTCTTCACTCTGACTAACAATATACAAACAATCCACCTAACTGACAGAAAGACAGCCTGCCTATTTATGAACATTAACAAAGCTTTTGATAGTGTCTGGCATAAGGGCTTACTATACAAACTATACAAACTCCACACACCAACAACCAATATCTACTACACACCATAAAGAACTTACCAGAAAACGACAGATCGGCATACATATTACAACACGCTGACGACACGGCACTTACTGTGCACGACAAAACTACTGAGAAAGCAGCTCAAAGACTCCAAACACTAACAAACAACACAATAACATGGTTTTATAAATGGAAACTAACACCAAACGCTTCAAAAAACCAACTTCTGCTCACAAACCACAGACTCACCGCTTAACTGCAGATGGCCAAACGACACAACCAAAAAACGACGTAAAATACCTTGGAATCACAATTAACCAGAAACTTAAATTCACTAAACACATACAAAACATCAGAACAGAAACGATAAGAAGAACAAAACACATTCGCTCACTAACATACAAAGACAAAGGAATTAGTACTTGGACTATGGACCTATACCAACGGAACAGAAAGGACAAAACGATACATACAGACAACAATTTTAGAGCAAATTGCACTAAGACACGACAAGACACCCCCAAAACCCACTTCACAATCCATCAAACGAACTACTGTGCCAACGCACAAACATGGAGAAAATAACAGACAGACTAAAACGAACTGAAAGAAAATGAAAAAACAACCAGCATAACAGGACTATACTAAACCCTCTTTGCCTCACAAGACAGACAAGACACTCTCATTTTCGCTCTCCAACAAATACTTTACTTGAAAACCTACAAACGCCAAAACTAACTCAATTGTAATGCCATTATAGTTTAATTTATGTAATATTAGGAATAGTCTAATTTTAAGAATTAAATGTAAGTACAAAGGCAGAGAAAACCAATGTGGGGTCGATAGCCTTTTTCCTTTGGAAATAAAGATTATTTACATATATGTACTATTCTGATTATATTTGAAATTGCGCTCCTAATGTGCCGTTGTACGCTTTACACCAACCGGAGGCTGTGAAAAGGGATTTGTTATAATTATCTAGGGATTTTAAAAATACTTCGTTTATCTGCAAAAGGAGTGATACATAGCGTAGTTGACGGGAGCACCGATATTTATAGTTAATCATGTAAATAATTTGTCAGGTAAAATCGAAAACAAACTATTAGAATTAATTGATTATTGATACTAAAAATTGCAATGAGGAAAATTTATTTAGTGCTTTGAAAAATAGTTTAGAAACGGAACATTCCTGTCAATAAAGTTATAGGGTCTGCTTCCGATAAGGCAAGCGTTACGTTATGAAAAAATAATTCGTTCATGTCACGGTTGAAGTCAGAAACAAAAAAGGTTTAAATGTTTTTCCTTGCATTTCGCATTCATCAGAATTAGCTGCAAGCCATGCTTGTGCAAAATTACTTCGCACTCCAGAAGATTTAGTTCGCAATGCTGCTTTTCAGTTTGCTCCAAACGTACGGCGGAACATAAAGAGATGCAAGAGTTTTCTTGTAACAAGACCCAAAAATGCGCATAATTTTGTACAAGGTGATTGAGTATGCAGTATACGGTGCTAGATAATTGGCAAGCACGTATACTATACTTTCGACTTGTACAATTGGAAGAAAATTCCAAATTGGTAAATTATGTTTGCAAATAGTTAAATAGTAGTAGCACCAAATCAATTACTTTATTTCTCAACTACTTCGTGAAGGTTTTTAATACTTTTAATGCGCTACTTCAATCAGAAAAACTGTTAGTCCATGAATTGTATGCAATGGGGATTAATCTTTAAAAATATAATTCCACATCATCGAATCTGATCATATAAATGATTTTAACATCAATTGTATCAAGATGTAAGATGATTGTAATTCATTTCTTGTTAATTTATCGGAAGGAGTTCAGAATTCAATTCGAAAATCTAGTTTCGAAGTTAAATAAAATAATAACTTATATTGAAAATTGAAGCGAAATAATGAGTTCGGTTTTTTACATTTTTATATTATTTGTATAAACATTTACAGTGCAAGATATCGTTTCCAATAATCTCTTTGTTTTCCAATAAATATTTTTTGTTTCACTTATCATTTTGCATTTAAAATATTTCGTTCAAAATCCAGGGAAAACTAGGGATTTTTAGGTGATCATCTGAAGATTTAAATTTTTCCGATCTGGCATTACTGGCCGGAAAGGGCGCCGCAACGGCCGACAGAAACAGAAAGAATACATAGCCATGAAAACATACAAGATATTAATTATGCCAAAATCAAAGTTTGTGGATTTAACTGTTTCTATAAGAAATTTAAATATAACTTCTGATTGTCATTTTGACATTTAAATATTTTTGCCAGGAAAGGGATTCGAAAGGAAAACACACAACTACTATATTTGTACATGATTAATCCTAAACATTCTTAATTCAATTTAATCGCCATTCTCATAATAATACCTGCTTCACTTTATTAATGGGACTTTTCTGAATGAAAAATGTGGTTAATTGGAACACTTACCTTATTCAAAGCGTCCTTATCAATGTATGAATACCTCTCAATAATCCTACTCTTAAGCTCAGCATCGTCGATGGTTTGTTTGGCCACTTGCAAAGTTAAAGTGCTATTCTGGCTGAGACACTGGCCATTTTCTTGCCGATCAATCAATATTTGGGTGGCCCGTTCGATGTCACCTGCCGCTATGGCTAAACACTGTTTTACCTGAAATACAAAACAAAAAACAATAGTTCATTGTATCTATAAGATAGATATGAGTACCCAGTAGATGTGTACTAAACGGTTTTTTTCTAGAACCGGTTACAACGTTGCAGTTGCACTTTGATACTAGGTTCCAAAAGTATGTTACAACATGTTACTTTTTAAATTTTAAAAGTTATTATTATTATTTAAAATTAATTTATAGAGGAAGTTCAGTTAAAAGATCGACAAGAGGAATATTCAAGTGTTCAAGATTTTGACAAACTTGTTTCATAACAAAAAAAACACAGGTACTTCCATGCGAGACATTATTTTTCAAAGTTTTTGACCCATCTTATTTTTTGTAAAAAAGAGTAGCAAAGGTTCATTAAGAAACCATTGCAAATAAATAAATCGGCATTAGTTAATTCAATTCCCAAAGATTCTGCGTCGTTTCTTACCTTTTGTTTTTGTTATGTTTCAAAGTGATTTTCCAAAGTTGACAATAAAAAAATGACAAAAGCTATTTCTGACTCCAAAAATAAATGTCAAAAGTCCACTTTTATTAACATTGTGTACGTTCCTCTCCAATCGTTTATGAGTTATTGGCATTTTTTGGAACAAATATTACTGTTTTCTTATCAAGAGTAGTCGACTATAGTAGTAATCCGTAAATTTGAATTTTTGATGAGAAATCGTAATGCAGGCATTTTTTTATTGTCAACTTTGAAACACCGCAACAGACGCACGAATAACAAAAGTATCAGAATCAATGCAAAATGTCGGCAAATCTAAAATTGGTTCTAGATGAGGCGTCACTCACGTCCACTGAAATCCTGATTGTTCTCAATWKTATGTGAAGATTATGGTAGCAATGATAAAACACTACTGCTYCATACWGAAGTGAGATGGTTGTCTCGGGGTRAAACTCGGGACCGTTTGTCCGATAAAARCTGGTTATTTAGATTAGCATTTTTAGCAGACATGTTTGGAAAACTTAACGAATTAAACCTGTCACTACAAGGAAAACAGACAACCGTTTTCCRTGCTAACAACAAGAYAACCGTTTTCCGTGCTAACAACAAGATAACCGATTTTAAAAGAAAATTGGAATTTTGGATTACTTATTTTGGTAACAGAGAAATAGAAAGYTTTTCATTGCTAAGTGAGATCCTTCGCCACCTTAGTCTTAATGATACAGAAACATTACAAAATGCMACATTTGTTGAATTGGTGCAACATCTCAATGATCTGCGAGCGACTTTTGAATATCCCTTTCCTAAAGAACAGAATACGAAACTTGACATAAACTCATGGATTCAAAACCATTATTCATCCAAATTGCAGAAGCCTGAAATATATCAAATCAGATCTATGAATCATTTTTAGAAATAACATCGGACACAATCATAGAAACATTGTTCAGAACAATTTCACTGAATAATTTTTGGTGCAGGGTTCGGGATGAATGAATATCCACAACTTGCCACAGAGGCTTTAATTCTTCTGCCGTTCCCAACAAAGTACTTGTGTGAAACGAGATTTTAAGCATATTTACAGCTACAAAAACAAAATATCGCAATAGACTAGATGTCGTCTATCAAGCCTGACATTACCCAGTTGATGAGAAATAAAAAACATTTTCATGCTTCCCATTAAATCATTATCCCAAAAAACCCTTTCTTAAATTAAATCCCAAAAAACTTTTTTTTTGTATGATTATTAATAAACAATACACAGTTTAGGGCTTTGTTAAAACTTTAGTTTTTTAAAAGAGTTCCGTCACCAAAAAAGTTTGAGAACCGCTTAGCTAGACTTAGTAAAAAGCATATGTACGTAAAAGCGAAATTATTTAGACCATTCGATTTTACTTAGAATTTTATTTCGAAGTAGTTACTTAGTAGTAATTAATGACCCACGTTTTGTTTTTGCTTTTAAAATATATTATTTTTAGTTTACCAATGCTAAGAATTATATTTTTTAATAAACTCATCACTCATCACTCATCATTATTGATCATTACTATTTCTACCATCAGCATCATTGCGAATTTTTAAAGAAAACTTTTTAAAACCGCACAATGGAACGTAATACGAAAGTTGTAACTGCAACGTTGTAACCTGTTCCAGAAAAATAACCGTTTAGCACACCTCTAGCTGTCTTATTTTTGATATTGGATCGGGACGAGATCAGAAAGCGAAATCGGGTTCAGTCTTCGTTCTGATTTTTGGCTCCGATAGTCGTTTACACAGAACATTTCCCGGAGGGTGTTTTGTGGTCATTTAGTAGGGTATACGATTGCCATATGGTTAGCATTCGCAAATATAAGGGCAAGCAATATTGCAACGGAGGATTGAAAAAATATTTAAAAGTTTTACCGAGTGTGAGTTGGCCATGGTGGCACTTTGTCTAGACAACGAAGAAGAAAAAGAAAAATGCTTGAGGGAGAACAAGGAAAAATTCATATTTTGGATCCATCTTACTTCTTTCTTTTCCCTCTCTTTTCCCACTTTTCCCTCATCTCTTGGACGACGAAACGAAATTTTATCTGTATTTTACAATGTTCATGTCGGTGTTTACTCTTAGAAAAATACTGCAGGGAAAATTGTGTAAACAAGATAAGTATTTCAGAAAAGCAATAAGTGCAAGATACCGTTTGGCTGTTTTTTTTAGATAAGTTACTAATTTACTTACTTAATACCCCTATAACATCTTTAAGTTTGAAAATTGCAGGTAGTTTCTTAAAGGAAGGAACATTTTAAAAATATGCGTTGATAAATAGCAATCGTGTTTATTTATTTAAATTTAATAAATTTACAATGGATTTTTAAGTAAACAAACTTCTTCTTTTTCATTGGGGCATGGTTTTCGTCAGGTATAAATAAATCGTCTGCAGGTTGTGCATACGATTCCTTTTCCCCTATTAATGTGACAGCAGGCGTTGAGGCAGAGGACGTTGCGCTTGATGTGGAGGGATACGCATTAAGCTCTTCCAATTCATACTCTTGCACCACTTTTTTTTTTTTCGTTTTGCAGCAAGTAGATGCTGGATTCAGCGATTTCAGTGATGCTGCTTATCCACCAAAAAAAGCATAAACATGTTTTTTTTGAATAGGCTTCTGTTTTTGCCAGAATGTAGGCCATTAGTTAAGATGATGCAAACTCTTTACATCCTACTTCGCATTTAGGCGCTGCCGCGTATGTCCTGCATGCAAAAATCTCATTTCGGTCGCAAATGACTTGGCTGGAGTGACCGGTGATAATAAATTCGGGGGTTGTTGAATTTCAAGTTCATCAGCACTGCCATCTGATTGTTGAGCTGTTTTAGGAATGGTTCTGGTCTTGTGATTCGGTGTCCAGATTACCATTGCCGTTGTAATCGGAAATGTTGCTCAACCCTTTTCGCCCGGAAAGTTGGGGAAATAAAAATGCAAGCATAGCCTCGTATCTATATTTTATAGTTGATGTAGCCGCATGTCCAGATTTTGTTTTTCTTTTCTGTCGAACTCTGCGAAAAATGTATCGAATTCCGTTCCAATTTTACAGTCTTGTTCTTCACCTATAACAAGTTAATTAGTAATGGAATAGAATAAAGTCGATTTTTCAAAGCTATAATGTGATATGAAAGGGACCGTTGAACCATCGCCGGGGCACATTCAACATTTTAGATACGCTGCATCAGCAAGGTTAACAAATATAATTTCTTTCAGGTTTCTTGCTGCAGGAGATTCCTTCAAGACGATATCCTTCAGTTACCGGATGGGAAGAGGTACCGTTTGTACCATTGTTCATCATACGAGCAAAGCAGGAATTGAAGTACTTTTAAATAAAGTCATGTCACTTCCGGTTGAAGTCAAGTGGAGGGAAACAGTAACCATATTCTGATGCACTGGATGGCAAGCATGTGACAATACAAACCCTGAAATTATCGGGGAGTCTATACTGGAACTACAAGGAAACGTATTCTATTATTCTTCTAGATCTAGTTCATCCTTGCTATAATTTCATTTTGTTGGCGTGAGAGAAGCTACGGGAGGAACTGAGATGATGTAATTTTGATTAATTCCAATTTTAGCAAAAAAAACTATTACGAAATGAACTGAATATCCCAGAAAAGTGTCTTTCAGGGACAGACACGGGACTTTCCATGGTTATCGTAGCCGACGACGCTTTTCCCCTCACAGCAAACCTCATGAGACCATATCCTGGAAAAAACTTCACCGATTTGTGAAGAATTTTTAACTACCGATTGAGCAGAGCAAGAAGAATAAGCTGATACCCAGAATATGTTTGGCATTTTGGTACAAAAAGGTCGGATGTTTATCAGATCTCCCCAGAAAAACCCTGATAACATAACAACACTTGTACTCGCGTCATGCATTTTACATAACTTTATTCGAAACAATGACAGCACCAATGTACCAGAATAGACTGACGATAACACTCGAGACGAGTGATGTCGCCCTCAGAATTTCCCTCATCGTCCGGGGGCGGAAAATCGTCAATTCTTCTTATTGTCTTCTTATTATCGTCTTATTTGTTATTACTTAAGGATATGCAAATTTTATATATATAGTCTTACCTTTGGCATTGAATTATTTCGCCACTTTTTTCCAAACCAAGTCTTGGTACTTGGTGGGTACTGCGCTCTGGCCTGATCATACAGTACCGAATTCTCACTTCTTCAATTAGGTCCTCAGGTTTAATTAAACTCAATTTTTTTTAAACAAAAAGTATCACTGACGTTTCTGCAAACGGATACGTTTTTCCTTCCCGTAATCGGATAGCAAATACCAATCGAATAGGCACCAAAATCAGCACATGATTGAAACATGAAACAAAAGCGGAGTCGGATTGAGCAGGTACCGGAAAGATGAACTACGGCGTTCAAAGTCTAGTACCATTTATCTCTCAGACTTTTATCCGAGTGTATGATCGGAGTCGGATCGGATAATAATGTGTCCCGGCCTTTATGGTTCCCATGTATTTTCTGCTAACACTCTCATGGTGAAGCTACCCATGCTAAATTAACTTGCAATATTTATTATCAATACACAAACTTATTCTAGCTTTATTTACCAATTTCTGATACAGCGCTGTTGTAAAGAACAAAGTAGATCGGCAAATTAAATACTCAACTCAAACCAAACTTACCTCAATGGTACAAATAGACGGAAACATCTCTTGCAATATGTCCATTTCATCCGGAAAATCACAACAGGAGCTGTCAGTTGAGCCTCCATCGCTCATTTCGGACAGTTTATGAACGCGTTTGGGTGTCTCGAAGCTCTCGGAATCGCTGTGCGAACTAAACGGAAACAAAGAATTTAATTGAAAAAAAAAATTTCTACCATTTAAAGAACTCTATATTTACGATAAAATATGAACAAACTGTACTTTCATAATAATAAAATAATTGAAAATAAGAACAATATACTGGGTGATTCACCGTCAGTGGCCTTAAAATGTACAAAAAGAAGAACGAACGATATTTAAACGTTTTAAAACTTATAGTAATGCAACATCGGCGTTTAGAGTCGCAGTACACAAATCTTGGAAAAAAAAACTTTTTACCTTGTCTCTTGTTGAAGATTTTTTCCTATTACATTTTTTCAATTTAATGTTTTTTTATAACATTAATATTGCCCTTATCATCTTTCACCACCATAACGTTCTATATTAAATAACATTTATTTATTTATTTACCGAGGTTTCGTCTTACTAGACACCACTTCGGGTAAACTGATATCCAAATTGGGGCTTTTGACTTGAGCCTCGTCGATTTTTCGCAGCTTCTCTTCCAAGTCAAACATCCATTCACATACCGTGCTGTGATTGATTGTAGCAAACTTGGGAAAGTAGGCTTCCATCATTTCGCAAAACCCTATTGAAAACAATTTGCATAATACCGATAAATGTCATAGATTTAGAAAAAGTAATACCTTCAACGTCAAAATGTGAATCATCCCCAACATCTTCTAAGAACGCTATTACATAAGACAATACAATGTCGTCAATCAGATTCAGGTCAGCATCTGAGATATGAAATCTCACGAAATCAAAAAGCGAATCCTTGATTGTCGACTCTTGATCGGCAATCATTTTCGAAGACATCACTATCTGAAAAATATATAGTTATAGTTATACGGGACCTACAGTTTATCGCCGATTCCGAACGGCACTTAGTTAAATGAAAATTGTGTCACCTCCATCGCTACTAAGCCGAACTTCAAACGCATTCAAGAACCCCATTACTAAAAACTTAATTTTATTACCTACCAAGAGCGTATGTCTGCAAGTTTTAATATTCAGGAAACTTTTTTTAAAAATGTTAGATCTGATAATAGGGAGAAATACCAGGACTTATAAAAACTTAAAAAAATGTTAGATGAGACAGTACACTATTTTCACGACAGCCTACCGGTTCTACCAAAATAAAAAAACAGATCTTAATCTCTTCAATTTGCACCTTGTGTCGGACTTTTTTATTCAAATTAAACTGAATAAATAATTATGAGATGCCTTTTCCTTTCCAATTACATTATGAAACATAGTTTTTATTATTTCCGTAGTAAATCATAAGTTTAAAAGCGTGATAAGCAAACAGCCACTGTACGGCTAATGCAACAGGAAGACGAAGACTACTGGGAAGTGTGAAGAAGTTCTACTAAATGAGATTATACGTACCCCCTTCAAATCCTTTTAAAATTCATTGAATATACAGGGATTACAAAGGAGTCGAAGAGATGAGGAGACAATTTGACAGAAATGATCGCAGTGGATGGCTGGATGCTACTTCGATGGTGATGGAAAAGTTTTAGTGAGTAAACAAGTAGGCTAAAATCTCACACAACCCAGAAGAAGAAGAATGAAGCGCAAAAATATCCGTTCTGGACGGTGCGTGGAGAGAGCATTTCTCAAACCTCATCGACGACAAAAAAATTAAAAAATTAGGTACTCTATTATCTTTCTCTTGCTGTAGAGCAAATATTCTACATGAAAAACCCGCTTCTCTTTATGAAATATCGTCACGGAAAGTACGTGGCAAAGAGTGAAAAACCATTCAATTGGAGCTGTTCCCAGAAAAATACCGCCCAAACGCGTCGGTCTAGATTTTGGAGGTTGTCCGACAATCTCCGCAAAGAAAGTGGTGTGCAAGAAATCCTGCGCAAACAATATGAAAAAGCTTTGTTTATTTATTGCTCATAGTACAAATTAAATCTGGTCATAAATAAATAAATCTTACTATTCTGTTTGAAATCTGGATCACCGCAGAGACCATCAAAAATATTATAACATTTTTTCTTGGAGGAATTTGACCTAATATTTATAAGTCTTTCGGGACCAGGTGAAGCGGAAAACCCCAATGCATCAGAGCTTTTAAACAGAATTTTCCTGTTATCATGGAGGTTTAGAAATCTTGCGATGAAGAAGGAAGAACACAAAACCAAAGATGATACAACACTGAACTAGTAAAAACCGTT